CCCCACAAAGTTGGTCATTTTATGTGCAGTTTGCATTCCGTCCTGCGCGTTAGCACCAACTTCCTCCCCCAAGGAACGTGTGCACCAGATCCCACTCCAGCACTGACACCAGTGAGTCTCTACAGTTTCAGTATATACCGTGTCTATGACATTCCTGCCACCATCTTACCGATCTGACCTCTCCTCAACTTAGTATGTTTCCCCGGGAGTAATATTAACTCCTGACAACTGTGTTTCCTTTCCCATGCCGGTTTAGACGAAGTCAGGTCTACATTGTTTATTGCCCACTGTTTATGACGTCCCTTTTTCGCGCAATCCCCAATACCCGCAAATCCCCATTCATTCTTTACTATGACTATAACCGAGTGATCATGCCAGATGGTATGCCACCCATCAGTTGGGACTAAGTAATATGAATATTATGCAGCGTTTTCAGATCTCTGTATATAAACTACCAAGGCAATAATAACTTCCTCATTGTAAATAATGGCATTCCTTGGCCGAACTACCTCATTATGCTCAACGATATTGCCGAAAAGTAAGTCCTAGCGTTACTCTCCATTATGATGGCCGCAAACGTTGTCAGCTACTTTGGCTACCTGTTACAGCCGCAAGACTGATGTCAGTGTGCAGAGCTCTTGGAGTCTCAATTATGCTTGAAAATTCAATCCAACGATTGACGGTGGCTTTTTATACGCGTTATCGCGTTTCCTGGATATTTATGGAAACTGCAGGTCGAATACCTATGGACGCCGCCGATCGTGAGGCTTTAACTATGCGTAACAACCTGACGCAACGACGGACGGAGACCCTTCATCCTCAAAAATGTATGTGCTGTTGCTCACTGCTACACATTGTAACTCCTGGACCCGCTTTTGAGTGTGGTGCTGAATATGAGGATTCAAACATGCATGACCACCTAATCTAATCGAAAAAGGCCTTTCTTACTCATAGCTGCAAGTGGTGCCCTTAATCTTGGTAACACATAGTGAAATCTGGATCGGTGCTTGTGCGTCCCGATGAATAAAACGCTTGAACTATGCAATGTAGCTTAATCTAACAGATGATGCCCGTCCTACATATTTATGTCTGTACGCGTTATCCCTTACCGTAGCTACTTGTCGTAATTCTGGGTCCACGTACATGTGCAGTGCTGATTATGAGGGTGATTACGCAGGATGATCTTAAGCAATGGCTGCAACGGCCCTCCATTATGAAAATCGTGTGCGTTGTCGTTGCAACACGCCCTCGCTTGAAAATTATAAAACCAACATTGGTGAAATATGTTCGTTTGTTGAGTGGGCTGGTACTACCATAATGGGTATTCACTCCGTTTGGTGCTCCGCAAACCGGTTTTACTCAATAACGAAGATGAAATGAAGGGTCGCGCTTGATTGCATCTTCTTCACATCTATTGTTTCCTACTATTATAAAGGAAAATGTACTTTCTCAGTCGATCACATTGTCAAAAGTGAAACATTTATGGATAAACGAGTGTTCGACCCAGCAAAGTTAAAGACAGAAAGGGATCATATAAGGCAGACGTCAGATTCGCGGGCATAGACTTGGATCATAATATTCGAGGGCAACATAATCTTCAGACACATACCCACGGATTTTGCCGTAGCGACGATCTATTGAGGGGTGGGTGCTTGATGCCCCTTAGGAGCACTGGAAACCAACTTCACTTCACTTCTGCTTCCCGACGTCTATATCCTGCAGCTTTATAGAAACATCATTTCCGTCATTATTATTATATCTTATAATTACCCCACAAACAACTGAGTAGCGCTATTGTCAGCTAAGGGTCCGTTCTTGGACGCCGCTTATCATTTGCGGTGCGTAGACATATCATTTCTGATATTTAGCATCTGGTTGCAGCCAAAAAAGCTTATAAATCTGAGGCACATAACAGGCTGAAAGTCGCTCACTTTTTCAGTCTTCCCCGAGGCTCTCACCTAAATGTGTGACATGGATTAGTCTACCCCGCTGTTCACGCTGATGTACTGTCACACTCCTCTTGGGACTATCCTAATACATAAGCGACCAAGGCAGCCACTCTGGATACGATCTATCTACGATTGAGATGACAATCTGTCGGACTGCCTCACCTCACTACACCAGAAATAAATATTCTGCAACCCACATACGTGCAACATATATCAATCTCCTCTTTGTTCCCTAAGAGTTCGATGCGCCCTAGTTATCCATAATTCATCCCATTGTTGAATGGTGGCTGCCGCTCAGCATTTGATCCATCTGACGAGCCTCTTCGGTCGTCATCCAACCCTAAACTTCCACCAACTCTTCCCATCCCGTGTCAGCTTCTTTGCACCTCCTGCCACTGAATGTGCAAACGAATTCACGCGCGACAACTACCCTTCTAACTGCCGCCCTCCCAAAGACCTTCCATACTGTGCGTCATATTTTGCCCCATGCAGCAAAAAACATGTTAATAATAATGTTTATTTGCAACTTGTGGGCTACATACTATTAGGAATGATCATGATGTTATAGTTGAAATAAAGGCATAATTGGCGCGAATCGTGGGTACGAGGGCGGTTTAGGAGGTGGGCATTATCTGACGTAGGTTTGATCACCACCACACAGGCAAGGCCATGGGAGCACAGTTACCGGGCGTTTTTTGAGAGAACATCAAGCAAGACCTGATCGTTTGGATTTAAAGGTGGGAACCAAAAAACAATGCGGGGGAGGGCAAATCAGGAGGCTTCCTGCCTGGCACATGACAAGAAAAGTGTAAACGATGAAAAAATAGGGAACCAGACCATCAGATCTGTTGAAGCAGCGAGGCTGATGTCGTCCAGCAGGTCAAATTTAACTAAAACCTGAAGCCGCCGCTGATCTGGGACTGTTGGGCTCTTGGCCAGGGTCACAAAAAGCGTGAGTGGGGACGATGAAGCGGAGGGATTAGCAAACGAACATCTGGTTAGAGGAATCTCGGTAACATAACAAGGCAGTTTTTCTCGAACTTTGTCACTAGCTTAAGCATGCCTCGGATGATGCACAGGATGATATTAAAGATAATCATCCAGATAACTGTTGGGCCTTGGCCAGGGTCACAAAAAGCGTGAGTGGGGACGATGAAGCGGAGGGATTAGCAAACGAACATCTGGTTAGAGGAATCTCGGTAACATAACAAGGCAGTTTTTCTCGAACTTTGTCACTAGCTTAAGCATGCCTCGGATGATGCACAGGATGATATTAAAGATAATCATCCAGATACAATACTCTGTTAGTGCACATCTGAATAGAAGTGGTGTGTCATGTGTAAGACAACAGAGACTCGCTAGGTGCGGGTGGTGTGACGGCTCTTGAGGCAATTCGTTTGGCAAAGCTCCTAAGGTTTTCCTCAGACTGCAGTGCACCTTAATGAGGTAATCTCATTCTTCAGACACACGGGACTCGCAACAAGCATTATCAATCGGCCATCTATATTCTCAGCCGATATGTTGCTGTTTGCTGCAACCCCTAAATAGCGATGTCTCTTCCGTGCATCTCTCTCACCGATCCCATAAAACAGAGTTGCTGGAACGTTTTATGAACTATGATGGCTTCCTTACCCTATTTTCGCCCGGCACGCTCATATACATGTTAATTCCACCAACTTATGTCTGCCAGCTAACCGCCTAGAAGCACAATGTAGCTTTGGAGGCACGTATGCCTCAGCCACAATTTCGGGAACCATCTGTTAGCACTTCCGTCCATTCTACGCAGCTTCAATAACGGTTACGTGAACTGAACGCTATGAACTTAGTGGAGGAAGATCTGGCTAATAGACGTTCCTCCTAGTCGCACATAACCAGGCCGGCTTCCATCGACTACATGCCAACATTCCTTACTAACTCCAAGAGAAAGCCGATCGTTTTTGAGAATGGACATTGTCACTTCTCTACGATGGGCAGAAATTGCAACCGCCCGTAGTTGTCCGCTGTTTCGAGCCAAAGTCTAATATCGGCAAAAAGCCACCCTGTGCCCCAGATGGGCTTATGAAAATCTTCGGTGTATGCCGATTCTAATTTATCACGATTCCCTGGCCAATCCTAACCGTCATGACAACCTCAACTGACTGACCAAATGTGTCCAGGTGCAAGGCTATCCGTAGCCTAATTACGACATAGCAGTGACGAAACCGCGACCGAAATGCCCAGTCTGATGGATCACCCGCCGGGCGTGCTACATGCGCCCAAAAGAGCGTCTTAGTAGGCTAGATTTACGCCGAAACTCCGACGTACGGGCTGCTCGCACTACCCATAAACCAACTAATTCCTCCTAGTATCAGCATATCGGTGTGCAAAAAAGTTGCCGTATACTGAATGCGATCTGTCCACCAAAGTTACTAGCTGCCACTAGCTGGCTTTTTCTGGCGGGACGCCTGCTTAAACATTAGGAAAGTTTGTTCTACATAGGTCGACAATGGCTGCTGCACTTCGAGTTTGTGCGGCAAAGACAATGCAGCAATTGCTCGTTCAGGTTCAAAATACTTCTAAACCCAATACAATACAATACGTGAAGGAACCAACTTCTCTACCAAATCTCCCACCGTCCTCGTGGAGACACCACGCAGAGACATAGCAGCCATTAAATATATGCACCGCATGCCTACAGTGTCTTGAGTATGTTTAATATATTTCGGGCAAAACTGCGACTGAATGGGTAGATTTGAAGGGTTAGAATAAGTATATGCAAATTATAAAACTCCATATTAACTTCCTTTGAATTATGGATTCAGAGAATTTTTGGGTCTACCTCTAGAGACTGGGGTGTAAACTTCGGGCAAATAAATTTAAACAATCGCGCTGATATCATTGAACGGCAGATGAAGCGTGATTGCGTAAATTGGTTAGCGGATTGGTGCTTACTCTTGGGGCAAATCTAGTGCTGATGATCATTTTATTTTGCAAAGTAGACGACCGCTGAAGAGCGTTGTTTCACTGCGCTAAAAATCCAGTGGCGCGCGACGTCCTTGTTTTCACGCCCTACCGCCGATGGCTCCCAAGCTCGATCCTACTGCAGTTACTTACAGTAAGTGGTCTGCTTTTGTACTGAACTGATCGTTGATCAGCCTACCTTAGGGTAACAGGTGGTGAGGTAGGAGCCACATCGTCCTTGGCCCCAAAAATCGGTCCCTTGGGGCTTTCCCCTAAGAAAGTTGGCGATGATATTGCCAAAGCTACACAAGACTGGAAGGGTCTTCGGATTACGGTCAAGTTGACAATCCAGAACCGTCAAGCTGCCATCAGCGTCGTCCCTACTGCATCATCCTTGATCATTCGGGCATTGAAAGAACCACCACGCGACCGCAAGAAAAACAAGAATATCAAACACAGTGGAAACATCTCTTTCGATGATGTGCTTGAGGTAGCCCGAATAATGCGACCCAGAAGTATGGCTCGTGAACTTTCGGGAACGGTGAAGGAAATTCTCGGAACTGCCCGATCAGTCGGCTGCACAGTTGACGGTGAGGCGCCTCAAACGATCATTGACCGGGTTAACTCCGGTGAAATCGCTGTACCTGCCGCTTAAAATAAATGATGTCGTGAAACGGATTATTCGTGCTTCTTCTGCCCTCAGTCAGCCACTGCCCAGTTTTCAGACAGCTTCATACGGCCCCAACGAAGAAAATGTTTGAGCAATTATTCCGAGTGCCTAGTCATGCCGGTGCGATAATTTTCGACAACAGATTGTCTGTTTTCTCGGAAATTCTCCGGTTGACCTACATATGGAGTGCAGGCATGGTATCGGTCATTCAAGGTTTGTGCCCCCTCATTCTGCGGGTGATGGTGTGTACTTGTGGCCACTAAATTGTGGATTCATTTTGGTACTACAGTTTATTCCAAAATTTCGGGTGTAACTGATTTCGTATGGAAAGCTCCAGGTCCTCTGATATGGTTTTGTTTTCCAGACCTAAGTCATCATTCGACGCCAGTAAACTGATACAAGAGGTTTTTGTGAGTTACTGAGGGATTCCTCGGACACGTTCCGGAACAGATATGCATAACTGATGTACACTGGGGAACGTCACAGTAGCTTTATGACCAGTACTGGATCTCACATCGGGAGATTCCTAACAGCAATGCCGCAGTAGACGTAAGTTACAATATATGCTGGTTTTCCTTATGAATGGCGGGAATAGTTATTGAGCTATCAAGCCAACTTCTCCAGGTGGAGAGGTCAGCCCGGGTATCCTCGTGTTCCACTGACGTGGCATCACAAGCGTCGGTTTGTTACTGAGACTTTCACGATAACTTGAGTGGTCACATGCTGACTGCAACTTGCTATAAGTGGAATGAAGACGTTTGGGCGCCGTGGTTTCCTGATTCACGCGTGCCCTTCATCGGTTTAATGGGAGCGCTCGGCCGGTCCTCATGGTCTTTTGGCGCTAGTTTGTGAATGTTTCCAGGTGGCCAAGTTATTGATGTCATCGCCGGTGGCCGGATCATGCACCGACTCGGCTTCTGGAGGGTCTGTGAATCAAGATAGCCCTCTGGTTAGGTCGCAAAGTTACTCACCGGAAGGCGTCTGCTCCTCGGTGTCTCCTGTCTAGGTTTGGATAAGCTAGAATTATCAGGTCTTTTTCCGAGGTACTCTGCAGCCATGTACCGAAATGACTCCACAACTGATTTCCGCACAGACGGGGCTACTCAACCGTCTTTCTCGAGTAACTTGCATGTTTTCGGGGTAGGATAGTATCCTTTTCAATTTAGCATACAAGGTTTTGAAAGTGTTGGGCCATCAGACCGTCCTATGCATACACTAGGTCACACTTGTTCAGTTACACTGAAACGAGTTGGCAACACCAGACTACCAGTTGGGTCTGCTGATGGTTTTAGAACCCCCTCCTGTTCGCTCTCCGGTCCTATTCAGTTGGGTTTACGTGGGCTACAGCGCGTCCAGTTGGACGCACATGCGGCTCCGCACAAACTTTGTGGCACCAATTTTCGTGCTTAAGGACCCATCTGCTCATTTTACCAGGGTGAGATGGCTCAGTGGTTAGAGTGCAGAATCACTAACCGGTTGGTGACCGTCCATGGTTCGAACCCGGCCTCTGCCTCTACTTCCCCTGTATGGGCTTGGTCACCTGACAGTATCCCAGCCTTCGCGCTCCCTTCTGGTGGCATAGCAATTTGGACCGAAAGGGTGCTACAGTTGACTGATTCACTGACAGGCTACTTCGGGTATGTATGCCAACCCACCATATGCATACACTGGCTTCCGTCAACTTACAGTTTCAGGAACCGTTATTGAACGACTCGACCAGAGGGCTCATCGATGGTCGCGATGAGACACTTTCATGTTAGACAGAATACACTGAACAACTGAACTGCCGACTCAGGGGACGCGTGACACACCAGAGTTTCATCGTCGCTGTGAATAACTGCCACTAGCCTAAAGCACCTGATGGACAACTTCATCTGAAGATTGGGTCCTATCTGGGGTCCACTACTTCGCCCTCCATAGGCTGCGGTCTGAACTGCCGAGATGAGTCTTGATGCCTGAGTTTATCATCATTATCAGTTTACTTGTACAGTGTTTGTAGCTGCCACAGTTTCACTGATGATCTGGGGAGGTGGGGTAGGTAGCTGCGCATTAGAGGCAGGAGCTGATAAATTGGTGCGTAAGTACAGGTCTGCCAGTGAACTTTTAAGTGTGTGTGGGGGGGGTTGGATGCAGCGAGTTCCGTATTGTTTTGAGCTATCGAGCGGAATCATCCCTACCTGATTAAATACTCGTTAATACTCGCTTCTGGGTGGTCCGGTTGGCAACGTATTTGAAACAATCGAGAAAGAGGGGTCACGAGAGTAGAGTGGTTCCAGGTCGAATTAGCAGTATTGCCAATTGTACACCTGTACCTCTGCGAGATGGCTCAAGTGGTTAGAGCGCGAATTTACTGACCGGAAGGTCCGTGGTTCGAATTCGACCTCCGCCACTCGACATCCCCTGTCTAGGCTTGGGTAACCTGGCAGTATCCCAGTCCTCGTGCTTCCTTCGGGTGGAATGGCAGCTAGGCACCGGAAGGGTGCTACAGCTGAACGATTTCTTTTTTTCTGAATTAGAAGGAAGACAAAATAGAAAGGCGCAATGTACGCTCTAATAATCATGGGCTGAAAAAATAGTTAACAGTTAATGGTGTATGAAAAGTATGTTTTATATGGTTGTGGCATTCACGCCAGCTTCGAATAAGTGTGTACTTTCGCCGCGAACGATGCGTAAAAAATTGTGGTGGATACGTAGAGGCGTTCACGTTTTGTAGCGTCCATGTACTGAGTGGACATGAATGTTCTGTCAACGTCATTGTTATCACAGAATCATACGGAAATAGTTCCTAGTTATGAGCTTTTAGGACTGATGAAGAAACGAAACTTCTGGTGCTGCCCGTATCAATAGGAGTCCGGAGCGTAACTGTCGACGCAAATACCTGTTGTAGCGTTAGATAGGTAATTAAAAGTAGCGGCCTTGAGCAATGAAGAGTGCGAGTAATCTAGAGCTGAACTCACGTGGTATTTCGTTTTTTTGTCTATGGACGCGTTGAAAATATCCTATTTTCCTCACAACTTGTGCAAACTGATTCTCTAGCAGGACACTCATTATGTGGTGCTTGGGGTTCTTACAAAAATAATTTTGTTGTGTAGCGACAGAAACCGTTTCTTCGGCTCTAACAGAGGACGAAGCACAGAACTAGTAACGGTGCTGCACCTGAACGAGTAACGGATTGTCAGCATACGTATGATTTTGATTTCGTTTGTGCAAGTTCGAGAGCTTGTCCATTTTAGTGAGCTTTGTTAAGGTCCACTTCACCCCAGGTTATCAGTTTTTCCGAAATGGTGTTCGGCTACGGTCCGGTTATCAGGGCATCTCGGACTGCTTTATTTGTATTTTCCATGGCAGATACTGCTCTGAATTAGCATTCTTTAGCAACTGACTTCAGTTTTTGGAGGGGCTGGTCAATATCTAGACTCGGTTTTAATTTGTATGCAGCTAGGAGGTGGCGTGCATAGACATTTTTCGGGCGAACGTAAAGTTTTTTTCAATATAGTTATTGCAGTCGTACGGGCGAGATGGCTCATTGGTTAGAGCACGGACTTACAGACCGGAAGGTCCCTGGTTCGGCCTCTGCCTCTCAACTTCCCCTATCCAGGCTTGAACAACCTGGCAGTATCCCAGCCCTCATGCTTCCTTCGAGTGGCAATGCCAGTTGGCACCGAAAGGGTTCTACAGCTGATTGGTTTGATTTTTTTGACTGAGAGTCGTAGTCGGTGAGTTCTGCAATGGATTTGTTTATTGTTAGACCGTGTGCCCACTAGTTGGCCAGCTCAGGATGCCATCAGCTACCGGTGGTGAGCATCCCTGATTACTTACCGCACTTTCTAGGTTATCTCTGTGGGTTTGGATCATGCGCTTGTTCGTGGTTGATTTTCTTCAAGCTTTTCAGTTCTGCGCTCGTATTGCATCGACGTATCCAAAGCCGCACTCGACTTTGGAACTTCTCAAATAAATTATTCCAAGGACGGGATCTCTCACCGAACGGTGGTTTTGCTGAAGGTCGGAAGACGGACTCCTTCCGGTCGCAACCACACTCGAACTCGAGGCGTCATCCGGCGCCAAGTAAAACTGTGTGTACGTCCAGGCTTGGAATTTCGGTGGAACCAGAGGGAAAGAAAGCAGCAAAAATTCATCATAATGTTTGCAGGTTATTCCATTTGTTTTTGTCAGCAGGACCTAGGAAGCCTTGTGCCAGTTAAACTGGTGATCAGAATGAGTCCCTGGTATCTATCCTCTCCTCACTGCTGGTCTTTGAAGAAACATGAACTATGACTATGGAGCCCTGTTCGACCTCAGAGGTTCCTAAGTGTATATGCTTGCTCAAGCGTCATCGTACGTCTGGTCCCCGTGATCCTCCTGCTCTGTTCGTGGGCGGCGCCTCTCTTACCCATTTGTGAATATTTGGGAGAAACAGGACATCCCAGACAACTGTAGTAGTGTCGATCTTCACAGGGTACTCGCATTAAATGTGGTATCCACAGGGTATCCACAGTTAGACTCCCACTGTAACGAAGCTTTTGGCCATACTGATTCTCCGTCGTTTTATTACGGCACGCGAACGGGATTTCGACCGATCAGATTCCCGAACTGCTAGGTGTTAATGAGAGGCCCTATGTATAGTCGGTCCACAAGCGTTGTGTTTTGGCTTCTTGACTTCTGCCCTGTCGATCGCTCAGTACTGCAGTGCCTACCGAAGGATATCACCGGAATTGAGCGTAATCCGATTCCTGTATTCACATTTCCAGGTGTGTGAGGGTATATGGGGAACCCTCTGGAGTCTCGCCTAAAGGAAATGGTGTCCGACAATGATGTTATTTCCGTCTTTGTTAGAGTTTGTCATTGATGAATTAATGAAACGAGTGCCGAAATGTTTTTAGAATCCCGGTGTTCAAGTTGTTGCTGGTGAAAACCTCAATCTGTAGTATGCAGGCGTCATCATCGTTTTTGAAGACGAAGTCGATGCATAAGAACTGTTGGATAAGATGATCAACAGGTCATCATCTTCCGGCATTCGCGTTGCACCAATGCAGTGCGAAGTCGTACTTCGTACCTCTGAACATGCCCACTGCGATCGAAGGAGTAGCACTAAGAATGTGGTTCCCAACTGTTTTTTAATCGCAGGGGTCGTGGAGGTTGTGGTGAATTTCGCATACCTCGGTGGTCGCTCTGACGGAAGTATGTCTGGTGAAGTTTATGCATGGATCTCGAAGGTCAAGAAGGCATATCACTAGGGCTCAAGGTTCGTGTGTACGAAGCTACAATGAGGGTCGTGCGTTAGTTAAGACATGTCTTCTGTGACACGTTATGTGAGGCGTTTACAAATTTTCGACCACCGGTGTCTTAGAAGTGTTTCCAGTATTGAGTGGTATGAAGGAATTAGTAAATACGTAGTCAAATAATGGTTGTTTGGCTGTGCTGTACGTGTATCTGTCGCGGAAAGCATCCAGCACCACCAATTGCAGTGGATCAGCCGCGTTCTGCGCATGATGAATAATCATATACTGCTGTTTTCCGTGCCTCTATCTCTATAGTGGCGCAGGCTCAGGTGCGAAAAGTGTGACTCGGCAGAATGGTATTCAGGTGATTCCCAAGAGCTTGGGTGCTGTTGACGCGGCCCGCCTTCCAGTATGAGGTCATCTTGATTCCCTGTTTTTGGATAGACACGCTGCTAGAAATGGCAGCTACTCAAAGTTGATGGCGATCGTACTGTCAGTTTCTTTCCTGATTGGGTTTGGAGTTATAAGCACTGAATGTCTTCGGTAGACTGACACCAGGACTCTTCCTTGTACATTCTTTTTCCACCTTAGGGCTTTGAATATAAATTAATACGACAGTGAAGCGTGGATGCCAGTATTAATGTCTCTTTGATAATGATGGTTTTGAACAAAAACCAAGAATCCGTGTCTCAGGCATGAAGTACTACTTGTGCAGTCAAAGAAACTGTAACAAAACTGGCTCTTCGCATCAAGTTGAACCCGGGAATTCCAACAGTGTGTGTTCAGTGCATCCCTGAGTTTGAGGAAAGATGAAGGTGACCCAGTATCAGGAAGGTCAGATTCCTGAAGTCAACTTCTGAACGCCCGGAACCTACTGCTCCACCAAAAGCTCAACTGGAAAGCCGGCAAGCATCCAGGCCAGTCAATCATTCGTGTGCGAGCTTTGACAATTCAAACACATTGGTGATAGTGTATGGAGACCGGATGATTTACAGCAGAGATTTCTTCCCGCATGTGAAACCAATGTGATCAAAACGTGACTATATGCTGTGACTTCCGTGACTGAACCTATGTGTGACGCTATATCCTGTCTAGGTGCAAGTTAAACACAGTGCTGATCGGGCGCTCGTTACCAAACTCTTCAGTGTTGAACTTCTAGCCGGGAGCTCGCAGTTTCGAAGTTGCTTCGTGCTTCATGAGGTGTGCATGGCGGATGATTACCAGTAAGGATGAAACATCTGTACAGCACTTCTCGTATTTTCAGCATTAATTGACTTCACACAACCTGCCTGTGTCTGTCGAAATGACGGTCAGTCCATATCTGCTGTCTGTTGAGGTCTCATAATACCAGGAAGGTCAGATCCCTGAAAGCAACTTCAGAACGCCCGGAACCTACTGCTCCACGAAAAACTCAACTGGAAAGCTGGCAAGCATCCAGGCCAATCAGTCATTCAATCAGTTCAGCAAGACCTGATGAGTGTTCTTGCGGCCACAGAAGCACGACCGAATTTGATCAGCGTTCGGGCATTTCACAGAGGCACGATCAATGTTGATGGGTGATCACTAACGCCTATCAGACAGCCTGGATCAATATCAGAAAGTCTCCTTTAAATAGCGTGGGGCCGTTGTAACTTTTGCACTCTCACGCTCTCTCACTCACTCGCTTGTTCGGAATACAGCTGTTGTGTTCCCTTCTGTGAGTCTTTTCTCTCCGACACTAGGCACTGGAGCGGGTCAGCAGCAGATACCTCAGATTGACGAAACAGAAGATATAACACCCAGCTTGCATCTTTGTCACCTTGCTAACAGCCATGTCGGGTGTGGTGTCTACCGGTGATTACTTAGCGTTAACGGAGTTTCGCATATGAAAATTAATCGTGGAGTAGAATGGGTAGTTATTTACGAGCCAACTCCATATTGCCTTTGTTCAAGTGCAGACTGCAAAGCCACAGAACCGTTGGAGGTTGGTGGATCCTGGCTCGATCTCATACGTCTACTCCGACGGATCTGGAGTTTGTTCGAATTCGCTTATTTATCTGTTTCACATCGAAGTCGCGCAACGATGAGGCTGATGGACTTTGTGGTGGATGAAACAGCTGCACAGTACTTCCGCGCTATCTTTGATGTATCCAGAAATCGATTCTATATTGCCATCGGGTTTTCTCATGGGAAAATTGTTGGTTAGCGGTTCGACTGGAAATAATGTAACAAGAGTAGGGTCCAAGCGGTTACATTTTCGCCATCGAAATTGAGAGTACGATTGTGAGATAGCCGTCCTAATCAGGTAGCTGAGGTCAAATCTCTTTAGATGTGTAATGCACCCAGAAATCGGGTGGCTACGAATTAGAAGTGCCGAAGCGCCACTGAACCATCTCTATCATTGTCGGTCTATTCCCGTGGTGCCTGTCCAGACCTGTGGCAATTATCAGCCCGACTCAGCTTTCCAGTTAGAACCTTCATACGTCTTAGCCGGATCACAGGCTGCCTTCCACTCGGTCGTTTCCAGCAAACATGAGGCTGAATAAAGGGTGATATCCAGATTGGGCGAATCTCTGACCAGTGTAACACGTGATGCGTAACTAGGTCGTTTGTTTCGGAAGACTTCCTAAAGTCGTCTGACTTACCTCAGCATTGCTCATCCGATTGTCCCACCAGACTCGATCGGTGCTTCGGCAACAAAAATGGTCAAACATCTACGCGTATGGGTCTTGATTTATGATCCATAAAACAGATCGCTGGTGTGTTGAACTATTGGTAGCTCGGGTGAGTTTATTGTTTGTTGATCAGGTGGCTGTTGGTCTGTTCGCCGAGCTTGAAAATTGGCTTGCAAACGTTCCGTCACCATACGAGACGTTATCAGTGCGCAACTGCCTTGCGGTAATGATTTTCTTAGTGGATTAGGTAACGTCCAAAGAAAAATCCTCCGTTCACATCATGTTCATAGAGTAGGGTTTGAACCACTGGGTTAGACGGCTGATGGGTTTATTACCACAGTCCATTGCTCAGAAATCATCCCCACAAAACAGGCCTTGTCAGTCATCTCCATTATTTGTGGAACTGATATCCAGATGTCACAAAAACAGACTCGACCCGGTCAATTTTAAGCGACATTTTCAAACTACTAACGAGTAATTCAAAATAATTATTTCCTTTTGAAACATTGGGTAACACCGGGAGCATCGATAGGGCACAAACACTAGATGTGGTATCGTGTCAGTATCAAGGCTAATAACCAGAATAATGTCCTGTAGGGACCCTCCAAATAAGAACCATCAACTGATTACGCATCGGATATATCAGTCAACAGGATTTATTGCGTCACCAGGTCTGAGGTTTTCGAACGCGTAGTTCAAGGGTTTGATGGATTTATTGCAGTGGGCTCGGCAAACCTCGGAACATGGCGAGGAAGGATAATAGATTGCCTAATTATGCTCATTCTTGTAGTATCTCAATGACCAACACAAGTCAACAATGTCTGAGTCATTTCATGGCTGATAACGAGCAACTTCAACTTGGTCCTTATATTACTGCACTTTTTGTTTTTTTTATACTAGAAATCTCACTTTTTTGTTTTTTTATACTAAAAAATCTCCTTTACGGGGCACTGTGTTGTTGATGTTTATCCACTAGAATGGTCAGATACTTGGAGGCAACTTTCGATCAACATTAATGGGGGAAACAGCGATGTGCAGAAACTCGCGACACCTGTTTGTCGCATAAATTTTCTAATGACCTCAGGTTTTTGGATTGTTTCTCATTTTGAATAAGGCATTGAGAACAAGAATGTTACGGGATAAATTCAGTCCACAGACTGTTCCGCAAAATTTTTAAGTGAGTATAAAAGGCATGCGGCGCAGTCTGAATTATTTACACTGGTGTAAAACAGCTCACAATTCAACGAAACCAAGTCTCAGGGTAATCTTCAGCAGAAAGTGTGCCTAAGCGCGTAATCACTATGCCCTCAATAACAACCAATCCTTGTGGAAACTTGTTTCGTGCTTGTGTGAGATAAGTTAAGCTGTATCTTACGTCAATTGGAAGCTTGACGATCGACGA